GAAAGAATGCCTCACCACGTCCTGACTGCAGAAAGTGTAAAAATAATAAATAAAAAATAACACCAAGACCTTAAAAGTGAGGCTAATCCTGCCTTCTTTCTAATGGCCATCAGGGGGCGACCTCTCTGGTTTCAAAAAGAAGTATTTGTGTCCACAGACCTCTTCTCACTATGTTTTTAGATACCACTGCTACACATCGTTAACTTTTATCTTCTTTCTCCCAAAGTCTGCATCACTAAAGAGCCTGGCTCTACCGGAGGTTTCTTCCTGTTAAAATGCAGTTTTTCCTTTCCACTGTCACCTAGTGCTTGCTCATAAGAGACTCTTTGATTGTTGGAGTTTTCGCTCTAATATTCTAGAGTCTTTTGATAGTATAAAGTGCCTTAAGGTGACTGTTGTTATCATTTAGTGTGACAACTAATACAGAGAAAACCCAGCACTTGGAAACAGTGGGAAGGAAAAACTCCCTTTTAACAGGAAGAAAACCCGGCTGAACCGGGCTCAGGGAAGGGCAGCCATCTGCCGTAACGGACTTGGGGTGAAACAAAACATCCTTGTGATTTCTTTGGTCACAATGTTGTAGTTCCTCATAGTTTGCACGGCAGATACTGACCTGTCTGCAAACACTTGCTAGCAAAAAAAAAAAAGTTACTCAACCCAAAAACGGAGAACATTTTCTTTCAAAATAAAAGTCGAGCTTGACAGTTGGAGCCATCATGTTTCAAAACTTCTGCTACTTTGAAGGGAAATTACGGTCTATGTTTCTGGTTTGTGCTACCCTTTTTCACCGTTTCACTAGAGCGCAGAAAGTAGTCTAAGAGTGTTTGCAGACACGCCAGTGTCTTCCATAAAAACTACAGGCAACCATGGCGATCAGTTTCACCTCATCACTGTCTACAATCTCCACCAACCACTCAGGGAATACAAAGCTTCTCGGTTTCTAGGTGGTAGCTGACAAATTTCTAGGCCTCCGTGCCTGTGGGTGAAGCCTGTCACAGCAGTCGGCAGAGATCAAAGTAATCGATTACAAATTAAACCCAGCCAGCTGATAACTGTCACTGTTCAGTATCTTAACATTTACTACCAGTAAAGTACACATTTCCTGTAGTTTGCATTTTTTTTTCATACAGCAACATAAAAAGGAATAAAAACAAAAACAAGAAATCAGAAGAAAATAATCACACGTTCCCTCATTAGAGGCTTTCTGTTTCAATTAAGTGACGTCTCTATTGTCAAACTTGTCGGATGAAGATTCGCGAGCCCGTCCCACTGAACCCAAAACATGGATGAAGCAGAATTTTGTTACTTTGATCAGCAGCCATCAGACAGCGATGTTTACATATTTTAACCGTGCTGTTATCAGCTCTCACTGGTTTCTGTGATTTCATATAAAGCTGCACAGTGTGCTAACACTCTACTGTACAATGAACACTTTATGTCTTTAACTCTTCTTATGTTTTTTTGTCACATCCAGAGAAAAACAAAAATGTCCCTACAGTGTAGAAATAAACCTCATGTGATAGATTTAGTCATTTCCCACATAAACAGCTACATTAAGCAGCTCTCCATCTGTTTTGCTCTCAAACCTTTTCCTGTCTGCACGCCTGGCTTCCACTTTCTGTGGCGTCACAAGATACCAGAAAGCCCCCCAAAAAACAAAACCCCGAAACAAAGCGACCCCCCAAATAACCCAAAAAACAAACATAACAAAGCACACAGAAGCGAACAAAGACAAAAATACAAACAAAATATTCTTCGCTTCACATTGGATGGTACATTCATGCGGCTCCCTACAGGTTTTCCCATCGACTCCCAGGTGTTTCCTTCGCCCCTTTTTTCTGTTGTTCTGTAAAGGTGCCAGCTCTTTAAAACCCAACAGACCAGCACACAGCTGTGAAGCTTTCTCTCTGCCAGTCTTTGTCTCTAATCCAATTAAAACCCCACAGCGCCACCTAGGGGTCGGCTCCCAATGTTTCCTACGTTCTCTAGCACAGAATAAATTAACACAATCAGCAGAATTACAATAATACACCATCACATGGGTAATAAATGCCACTCTAACTAAACCAAACAGTAAGCTCTGCCGTCTGTACAGTGACAGAAAGAACATGAAGAGATTGGTCACAGCTCAGAGAATAAGAAACGATATATCAGTGTTGGTAAAAACCGGGGCTTCAGCATTTTGGGCTTTACTTTTCCAAACAAAATAAAAAAAATCTGGGAGTTTACCATCGTGCAAACACAGGACTGTGGTATGGTTTATCAAAGCTTCCTGTTTTGTGAATAGTGGCGATTTTGAGGTGGCAGGAAGTAAAAAATTCTGAATGCTTGGGCACTGAATCAGGAAAAATTGACTCTTCTAAAGGGAGAGAAGTAGTGCTGTAGTGCTATTCATCCATCTAGATTATTTTGTTGTTAGCCGACTGTTTTTGTAGATATTGGCTGTAGAGATTTCTGCCGTTTCTTGAATATTGAGTTTTTTATGTCTTGATGCATGCTCAATCATCCAAGTAAGTAAATCCCCAAAAGTTGATTCTGTTCATCTGGACGTAGCGTTTTCAGTGGGGGAAACGTTTCGTCACTCATCCAAGTGACTTCCTCAGTCTCAGCTAACTGTGGTTTCCCCAATCTTATGTACTGTTTATAACATTGGAGAAACCTGCAGTCAGCTGAGACTGAAGAAGCCACTTGGGTGAGTGACGAAACGTTTCCCCCACTGAAAACGCTACGTCCAGATGAACAGAATCAACTTTTGGGGATAAACCTTTTACGAATCCACAAAACTCTACAAACATTCTTCTGAGCGGTTTCATGTATTTCCTTTCCATCAATCTGTGCCCATTAAACGTGCTGGAAGAAGTGCACATAAACCCATGATGTTTTCCTCTTGACTGTATGTTCTACAAAACTGGAGGACTTGCACCAAAAAAAATCTAGATGGATAAAACAACACTGCAGGTAAGCTGGAAGATGCAGAACTGATGATGAAACAAGAAAAAAAACAAAAACAGGAAGCACTGATTCTGAAACCCTTACAGACTGATTTACCTGCTCTGAGACACCTGGGGCAAATGTTCTTTAACCTGCTGAGAAAAATAACCTTCACCAGCGTCGCTCAGCCAGCACAAATAAATCAGCTCAGCAGTGATCCTGTTGTTGACTGAACTTTCTAAAGACTCACCATCTGTCAGTTTAAAGCTCATTTGGAGGATAAGCAGAACTGAATGTGCAGTTGTATGAGCTACGCCCTCGCTCCATCGAATATTCAATCTAAAGGCTCAAAGTACAACAGTGCATGTTTTCCCTTTCTTTGTTTGTTGAGCTGAAAATACTTTTACGGACATAGAAATAGCTGTTGACTTATCAGACTGCGGTTATTCAGACTGTAATATGCTAAATAAGCTCTTACCACTAGATGTCAGTATAGCCAAACAAATATGTGTTGACTGAGCCCTGCACAGGTCTCAAATGATTAGACAGCGATTCCCAACAGAGACGCAGACTCTGGAGATGGAAAAAGTAAAGCGCATAGGACTTATTTTCAATTTCAATTCTTAACTCAGGACTTTGGTGTTCTGATCTCCCTCTTAGCACAACAAAGCCCAAGTTCCTACCAACTCTTGAGCCATTTATCAAGCCCAACTTAGTCCAAACGTCAAATTAAAAAGCAGTTATCATCCTTTAATCCGTGTCTAGTTTTATTATAATCCTCATCAGAGCAATGGGAGCTCTTAGTTAAAGCTGCAATACTGCTTTGAAACTGCTTTTTGTGTTTGCGTGAGCTGCTTTCTCCCTCCTTCTCTACAGCGAAGGCACTAGATCGAAGACTAAACTGGATTAAATCTGGTTCCTGTGTGGCATCGGGAGAAGTCTTCACCGTGAAATTAAACTAAAATGACCAGGCGAGCGCGACTCTGAAGATACAAAAGCAGCAAACACGGTCACAAACTCTACGTATGAGTGGAGGATGAAAAAAAACAAAACAAAAAAACCCGTTAACGACAGCACGGTGAAGCTGCGTTGCAGTAGTATGGCTTCTTGTGTGTGTGTGAAGGTGGATAGTTATAGAAGAGTCGAGCGACGGCGTCTCCTCACAGAGGAGGGAAGATCCTACAGGCTGCCCTACGCGGACCTGGAGGACGGAAACAAGAAGAAGCAACACCGCGGTGAAGAAGAGGACGAGGGCTCGACTGATGCACAAGGATTACAGAGGACTGTAATAAATCAGTTTCCTCTTGTAGAGAGCCTGGAAGCTAAATTTTTAATGCATACACATGGTCAATTGTGAGGATATTAGCATTTTCAGAAGATTTCTGTTGAATGTCAGGACCTAATCAGTACCTAATTCTTTCTACAGCTTTCATCCGCACTCCAACTAATCTCCATGCTCCATTACAGCTGTGCAGACATCATCTTTGGAGTAAGACTGTGAAAAGTGGTTGAACGCTCCATCAGACTGAGGCAAATGTTCCTTTTTTTCTTTTGGTTCATGCTCTTTTCAGTGTTTAAAAGCCTGTAATCATAGGCTGTGAATTTTGTTCCTTTCCAAAAAGGAAGAAAGAAAAAAATTTTCTTTTATTTTTCAGTAAATGGAGAAAAACTGTCGAACGAATTCAGATTCCGTTTTTAAAACCCCTGTGCCGGTCGAACCCCCAGAGCACATATGAGAAGGAGAAAGAGATCTAAAAGCGGGTCAAAGATGCAGATGAAAAGCAGAAGAAGAATACAGAGGAGGAGGAGGATGGCTTTGTGTAAACATCGTGGGGAGAAAGTGGAGTTACTGGCAGGTAATGAGCTGGTGCGGCTGGTCGTCATTTGTCACATCCAACTCAAGAGAATGGAAGGAGGAAGCAGAGTCGGTTAGGTTTATAAAAAGAGGCTCGGGTTGTGCTGCGTCTTTCCTTTTTTTCTATTTTCTTTTAAGAAAACCAGCGGTTCTCTGACGACACTATGAAACACTCAAGTCGGTGCAGGAAAGACCGGTTCCTAGTTCCTATTCAGATGTTGCTGTGGTAGAGCAGCAGGTAAAAGACGACACATGTGAAGGGAATTGAGCGTCCGTTCATGCGGCCAGCCAGCCTTGTGATCCTCAGTGGGGAGCTTTTCCTTGGTGTGGTGCCCAAACACTCGGGCTCCATGGTAGTTCATATCAGTGGTGAATGACTGTCAGCGTCCTCCTCCTCATCAAAAATGGCTACTAGCAACAATTACACTGATGAATAAAGTGATAGCTGGTCACACTGTCCCTCCAAATGAACAGAAAAGTGAAGGAAGTCAAACCGAGTTGTGAAATAAACAGCCTTTTTTTTTTCTTTAGATCTTGATTCAAATTATTATGTCTACATTTTGATGAGCTATCATGTTATTCAGCAGTACATATGTTGCTTTGGGTCAGCCTTTGGACTCAACCAGAGAAGAAGAAAAAAAAATCAAGTGAAAGAAAACAAAACAAAAAAAACCCCTGGAGTCTCCACCGAGAACCCGGCTCCAGCACAAGTGGGTTCAGTTTTGAGCCCATCAACAATATCAAGTGAAGTCTGATCTGTAACCACTCAGGGCTCCAAGCGGCTCAACAGTTTCAGACAGCTGGAGGCTCAGTATACAGGATCGAGGTTCTCACACGTTTCTGGGCATCGGTGCAGGCAGGTCCGTTACTCCACTTCGTTGGGTCTGTCCGTTTTATCCTTCCTTATGACGGGCAGGGGGTGAGCCTCGGTATTGAAGACCCAGTGTTCGAATGGTAGGTGGTCATCCTCAGAGAAGAGGAGGTAGAGATACCTGTGAGAGAGAAGAAGGGGTCAGATCAAGTTGCCAAACTACGAAATGTTGCAGCAAACATAGCATAAATGATCCAAAATAAAGTAATGTTTGTGACTGTGCTGTGGTTCCACCCAAATTCATTATTCATAAACTGTTTAAATGCGCTTCAATTCCCTCCTTCATTTCTTTATGAGAGTTGTGGAAATCAAAATAAAATAAAAATAAAAACAGTTTACTCCTGAGCATTTCAGCTTTTGCAATATTTATTCGACGGTTTCGCCAAAGCCGTGATGAGACCGATGTGGAACTGAAAGCGAAGAATGGGTGCGACTCTATTTCAGACTGGTTTATGAAACTTGAAGTCATGCAATTTTTGTGCTTCGCTGTCATCAAACCGCCCTGTTATGAAACGGCCCTGAAATATTATTATTATTATCCATCAAAGGAGTGATAAGCAAAGTGAAAGAGTTTCAGGACAGCTGGCGGTCCTGTGGCGTCTTATCAGATTTCATCATGTTGAGTGAAAAACAAACGATTTGTTTTCAACGGGTCGAAAATGAAAATTTAAACAATGGAGCTGAAGAAAAGGGACCAGCTTAAAAAGAAAGCGTGAGCTAAGGATGAAATAATGACTCAGTCGAGAAGCTGGTCGTCCACGAAGCCTTCAAACTCCAGGACGAGTCCCCATCCTCCTCTGCTTGCCTGCCAGCCAAACAAGCAGACAGCAGCGAGTGATTGAAGGCAGACAGGAGTGTGAAGTACGACGGCGTCCTTGGCAGCATCGGCAAGATGAATGCTGGAAGATGCCAGAGTCCCCGAGTCACATTAGGAGGATTAGACTTGTGGGTTCGCAGCTAAATGGGATTGATATTTTCTGTGTCTGCCGAGGTCTGTTTCAGTTGCCTGACCGATGGGGTAATTATTATGTTAGTGTCCAGGCTCGTGGTCAGTTACGCAGTTATTCTGCCTTCCAGTTGTCTATGGGGGGCCTTTAATGTGAGAAAATGCTAATAACACATTAGCATTCGGAGACACTTTTTTCTTTTTTGTTCCACTTGCCTAGACAAATAGCCAGCTCTCCCTTTTATGTCGATGAAGAGGAAAAATAAATCTCTACAAACTGATCTGAGAATGAAGTCGGACACTTTGGCTGTGTTGGTTTCTGTGTCCGTGAGTGTTTTAATCAGGAGTAGAGGTGACGCTTGTTAAAATATACTGCCTATAAAATAAAAGCTGGATTGGATGGCACTTCGCCCCCATAAGGCTCTGTTAGGATAACCTTGAGTTCCTGTCAACAGCTGTCTGGTATGTGGGGAGGAAAAAAATGACAGAAGACGGAGAGGTGGAGGAGGAGGGGGAGATGGAGGAGTGGCTGATATAATTTCTAAGGCAGCAAAGGAAACGGAGAGGATGATAAATCTGCATGAGGCTCGGGAGAAAGAGGCGAATAGAAACTTTGGTCTTTAATCAGTCCATCCATGAAGTCCACTGCTTCATGCATGCACACAGGTTTTGATTTTATGTTATTATATTTGTCTCACATGATCAAATACTAAACAGCTGTGGAAACCTGTAATGTATATTTTAAACTCTTTCTTGTCAATTAAGGATGTTATTTGAACAATAATCAGCAGATGAACACAGAAATGAAGACATTCATGCTAACTGTGAGAAACGCTGATATCAGATGTGGGAAATCAGTGTATTGATTTGGTATCTTGTGCCTTTAATAAATGCATTCCATTCAACAAATATTTGACTGTAAAATAAACAAAACAAAACAAAAAACATAACTCTAAACAGCTTTAATGCTCTTTAGAGAACAACCAAAGGGTCCTTCTCTCCGTACTCATTGAATCTTAAAGCCTTTGAAGAGTCATCATTACATTTCCACAAAACTTAAAAACAGTTCTAAGCAGCATTTAAAACACGTGACATAATAGGACAGATTCAGAATCTGTTTGTGGCAGGCGGGGGTTCATTTGCACACTCTTATATGTCGTGTGGGCATAGAAACTGTTGGCTCTTCCTCTGAAATCTGTGACTTAACCTCAAACTGTGGTCACCATGAGCTGATACTAGCAGAAAAGCTCAGACGATGAAGCTTTGGCCTCTCTCCCTCTATCGCTCATTCATTATGTTTTGTTGTAACAGTTGCTGGGAAGCTTTTGTTGCACTTAACCTAAGCTGTATTCATCATATCATCTTATTTTTTGTTTTCGTGAGCTGTTGGCGTGTAAGAGACGGGCAGTAAAGACGTGCCCTCAGACAGAGCAGTAAAAGAGGACCCAGCGTGATTGGTAATCAGTAGAAAAAACTCGCACAAAGGACCATTTTGGATGTTTAATGTTAAGATGAACAAGTGCTTTATGCAACAGTCACACTAAAAAAAGTGTTTGGATACGTGTGCTGTGTGAATTGGTTGCTTTGTAGACGGGGATCAGGGCTGAGACGGTGATAAAAGTGGGAATAAGACAGATTCAGTCTGCTATCAGTCTGTGACGAAGTTGGAAATTACATGCAGTCTGTTTGTGATCATCATATGTGTGTAAAACACAGCTGGTTACCATAGCTACTTGCAATCGGTCGCCAACAGCAAAAACATTCAATGCAAACCACCGAATTTTCCTCATCAAGAGGAGATTGTTGTCCTGTTTCTATTCTAGTGTGACCCTTGGCATAATTTGACACTCCTGTCAGATTGTCACTCGGCATCAGCAGAGACCTGAAGCCAAAGTATTGATATCTGATCACCAGTCGGATCAGCTCAAAAGCTGAACTGCACTAAGCTATTTTACAACCTGTGTGCGCTTTCTCAATGCTGCTGAGTCTCTGACAGCTGATTTTAAATTCGCCTTGAACATTTTTCTTTATTTGCTTCAGGCAACTTAAAAATATTAATGTAAAAATGGATAACTGGTCAGAAAACCGTGCCCTACAACCATGTTCGATTGACAGGAGCAATGAATGCAGAATTTTCAGCCTTGATTCCCCGGCTCTTTTAAGCGTTAATTTTAGCATAGTTCTACGCTGTGAATGGTTGATCGTGTTACATGCATAAAAAAATACATTAACTAGAAGCTGCAACTTTGAGCAAAATAGTATAAAAGTACCTGAAAAGAACATGTAATGAATAACTCTTGTGTAGCTGCTACTACTACTACTTACCTGACTCTGGCACTACTGACCAAATTTTTCATAATGACACTAACACTGAATGCTCTCCTTGTTCCTCCTTTGCGTAGTCAGACACACAAAGTAAACACAAACACACACAGCAGAGTGCATGACCACACGCTTCCACCCACGTTAAGCTGTAGCCGAGACTTTTCCTCGTGCTTTAAACAGACTTGTCTTCTTGAGCACAGCTGGAGAGGCGAGAGAAAGCCCTATTAGCCACCAGACATCATACTGCGTGGCTGACAACACGTTTAAAGAGCCATTTTTTGGCTGCACACTCAAACGCTCACACCCTCACGCACACATTAACACATTCAAACTGAGACGTGCACATAAGGGCAGTTAAGTAAAAATATCAGCCAAGTATTAAGAAAAAAGTGAGACGGCGTGCTGCCTGTGGTGTGTAAGGACATGTGGTGTTTTTCACAGTTTCTGCCTTTCTCTACTAGATTTCTGCTATTTCAGATCTAATGTATCAAGGCACCGTTTTTCAGTCGTGAAGAGGAAGTTTATTTATAATGCTGCAAAATATTATTTTATTCAGAACAAGTTCTGCACATTTGTATCCAATTCTTTTCATGTTATTATACGACCCCGAGGAGAAATCATCCTAGTTTAGCTTTGGACTGTTTCGGGAATGCAAAACAGATGTTGAAATGAAAAAAGATGAATATATTCTGGTTTACCAGTAACTCTAAAAGC